GGATTGTGTTCAGCATATGAAATTGCACATTTAGAACTTTGTGGTCATCTTATAAGTATAATAAAATGTAGACTAGAGTCTTTATTATTCTATGTAGACTATGCCTGTAGGAGAGATTAAGATCTAGATGCACTTTTGAACCAGAAAAAATAGATATGTAAAGCTTTTATTCCTTTATTTATTCCGAGAATTTGGAGTCCTGGTGTGGCAATTTAGAATAAACACAGCACTGCTAACCTTAAGGTTGGTGGTTCACACTTACCAGCCATTCCTCAAACACCCTATACAGGGTCACTGTGAGTTGGAACAAACTCCTTGGCACTTAACAACATACTGAGAATTACTAACTTTCAGGATCAGAAAAGATCTTTACTGACCATCATCCTCAGTTCTGTCAGATAAAAGATAAGGTAGTAGATGGATTCATTAGGTGATTTTATGTAAAATCACACATCTTTGATGAAAATCAAATAAAAATTACATCAGTACTATTCCTAGAGTTACTATTATAGTCATACTTTGGAATTTTATTTTTAAATACTTTATAAATTAAATTTAGCCCTTGAAATTGTTTTCTTTTTAATCATTTTCAAAGTATGTTGAAAGTAAGAAACACTTACCTGTTAGATACTCTGTGCACATGAGTATACACAAATAAACAAAAACTGCCATAATACAGCTTGCTTGGTAAGTACCTGTGAACTATCACAGTGTAGATTAGTATGGTGAAAGTGCTAAGAAGACTTGCTATAAAGAAGTCTGTCAATCTTTGTTAGGTGTAGTGTAATACATGCTGAAGAAGACAGAATGATGCTAACCTGGTGGAGAAGATAAATACTGAGGATATTAAAACTCAGATAAATAATATCAGTTGTGCAGAGGACTACAAAAAGAGTGCAAGATACTTACGGGTTGTCCCCGATTTCTAAATAGCTAGAATACCATTGCCCTGGATTTCTAAAAAGCTAGAAGATCATTCTAAAAAGGGTTACCAATTCCTAATCAGGATTCCTCCATGCATATTGTATTCTTCCAATCACAGTCTGTACACACCAGAAACTCCAGATTGTTAGGACACAGAAAGTAGTTTTATCACAATAAAAATGGTTCCATTTTTGGATATCCAACTTAAGATGACTATTATGGTGGGTATGATGACTTCCCCACTTGTACTCCACTCTGTGCTGTAGGTGAGAGACTTATAAAATGGCAAGCCTACCCTCTGCCATCTCCCCTGTTTGATAGACATATTGGGTATGCTGAACACTTATGTTGAACATGTTTCCACCTAGCACCATAGGTGCTGGACCCGAAGATCCATTGCCTAGTTATTTTTATACCCTAAAGCCTAGGTCACGTGGTACGTGACAAATATCAGTCCTTCGAATGTGGGGAGCAGTGGAGGCTCATCATGTCCACTTCTTTATAAGGCTTGTTGCCAGGAGATCAGTTGGGCTCTCCTAGCACATTTGTATACTTAGTGTTTTAGCCACTATTTATCTGTCAGTTGGCGAACTGTGGTGGCTTGTGTGTTGCTGTGATGCTTGAAGCTATTTTAAATACCAGCAGAGTATGGCACCCTGATGTGGCACTGTAGGAAAAGCACTGGGCTACAAGGTTGGTTTGAACCACAAGGTCTGTGGTTCAAACTCACCAGCCACTCCCTGGAAACCCTAACACAGGATTGGTCACTATGAACTGAAACTGACTGGATGACACTTAACAACAAGAAGGGTATTTTAGAAAACAGTGACATCTTAATTACTCTGGTTATTTTTGTAAATCAAAGACTTAAGGCCAAATAAAATTCCTTGTTCCATAGAAAGTATGAGGTGCTTTGGTCACTTTGAGGTCTAAGGTACATCTGACCTAGGACATGGTATTTTTAGTTGCCTCATATGTATGTGAACGTTATACAGTGAATAAATCCAAGAAGCATCCATGCATTTGAATTATGGTGTTGAAGAAGATTATTTTAGGTACTATGGACCCCCAGAAGAATAAACAAATCTGTCTTGGAAGAATTATAGTCAGAATGCTCCTTAGAAGCGAAGTTGATTTCTTATACTTTGAACATATTGTCAGGAGGAACCAATCCCTGGAGAAGGACATCATGCTGGGAGAAGTGGTGGGCCAGCAAAAAGAGTTAGAATCCAAAGAAATGGATTTACCCACTGGCAGCAATAATGGGCTGAAACATAGTAATTGTGAGGCTGGTTCAAGACCAGGTAGTGTTTGGTTCTATTGTGCATAGGGTCACTGTGAGTCAAAGGCAACTCAGTGGCACCTAACAGCTGTCATCTAGAGGAGGAGAAATCTTTTTTGACAAAATTAATTCCTAAACTGAGTAGTGTTGGCAGAGTTAGCTAGTGATAACTGGAGAGATTGATGGGCACTAAAGAAAGGAAGGATTTTGGATGTATGGTTATTCTAAGGAGATTAGATTTTAAATAGGAAATGGCATCATCTTTCCAATTTTAAAAGATCTCTGTAGTTGTTTTTAGAATATAGAACAGAGAAATGTGAAAGTTAATACTGGGATGGCCAGTGTAAAGCCTATTGCAAATTGAAGGTACTGGCAAGGAGTAATGTTTGGACCAAAATGATAACAATAGAAATAGGAGGAACTCAGTGCATTTGAGCAAGGTGGGAAAATACATTCAGCAGAACGTAATGACTGATGGGTAAAACATCCCAAACTTAACTTGAATCTGTGTTTCTAATAATCTTCTGTGGAACTACTCTTCCATGGAACACCCTCTTTTACAGTCTTAGTAATTTTCTCTGAAATGTATATTGCTTTTTAATAATGAGGATATGACTACCAAAACTTACGGAGGTTCAAGCTGGAATTAGAAGAGGATGGGGAATGAGGGACATCATTAGCAACCTATGATACGCAGATTATACAACCTTGCTTACTGAAAGTGAAGAGGACTTAAAATGCTTGCTGATGAAGATCAGACACCATAGCCTTCAGTATGGATTACATCTCAATGTAAAGAAAACAAAAATCCTCACCACTGGACCTATAAACAACATTCTTATCAATGGAGAAAATATTGATGTTGTCAAGGACTTCATTCTTTTTGGATCAACCATGAACACTCATGGAAACAGCAGTCAAGAAATCAAATGATGTATTGCATTAGGCAAATCTGCTGCACAAGACCTTTTTAAAGTATTGAAGAGCAAAGATGCCAGCTTGAGGACTAAGGTGTGCCTGACCGAAGCCATGGTATTTTTAATAACCTCATATGCATGCAAAAACTGGACAGTGAATAAGGAAGATTGTAGAAGAATTGATGCATTTGAGTTATGGTGTTGGAGGAGAATATTGAAAGTGCCGTGGGCTGCCAAAAGAACCAACAGATCTGTGTTGGGAGAAGTATCTACACCCAGAGTGCTCCTTGGAGGCCAGGATGGCCAAACTTCGTCTCTCATTCTTTGGACATATTGTCAGGAGGGACCAGTCACTAGAGAAGGATACCATGTTTGGTAAGGTGGAGGGTCAAAGAAAAAGAGGAAGACTCCCAGCAAGATGAATTGGCAAAGTGACAGTATCAATGGGCTCAAGCATGGCAACAATTGTGAGGTTAGCCCAGGACTGGGCAGTGTTTCATTCTGTTGTGCAGTGTTTCGCTATGAGTCTGTACCAACTCAGTGGCACCTAACAACAACAACCACAACAACAACAACCACATATGACCATCAGGAATCCTGATATGACACTGTAGAACAAGCACTGAACCCGCAAGTTTGGTTGGAATCGTAAAGTTGGTGGTTCAAACTTACCAGCTGCTCCCTGGAAACCCTATACAGGGTCACTATGAGTCAAAACAGACTTGATGGCATTTAACAGCAACATATAATTTTCAGAGTCCAGGTGTGACACTACAGGTTAAACACTGGACGACTAACTACAAGGTTGGCAGTTCAAGTACAGCTGCTTCTTGGAAACTCTATACAGTGTCGTTATGAGTTGGAATCACCTTGATGGCACACAACAACAATATAATTATGCTTGGAGATCAAAGTATTTATCCCTCACATATAAGGGGGCTTCAGAGAGTTTGTGGAAAAATGGGATTAAAAGATAATGAAAAATTTCCATGAATTTTTTGAAGCCCCCTCATATATATGTAGTTGTTGTTATTAAGTGGTGTTGAATTAATTCTAAAAAAATAGCAACCTCTAGGGTCCAAGGAGCATCTGGTGGGTTTGAACTGCCAAACTTATGGTTAGCAGACCAGTGCTTATCCTATACTACCACACCTGGTCTTCAAAATCTATTTGAAAGTTGGCTTTTTTTCCCCTAGTATCTTCATTTAATGATCTAAATGGACTTGTTCTTCCTTGTTTTTTTCTTCTTTTAAATATTTTAAACTCATGAGTCTTAGCTTTTCCACAAAAAGGTTTAGTCTCTTACATTTCCTGTCAATTGGTGTACTTATTTCTTTTTATTCATATGGATACTTACCAGTTAGAGAAGATCTGCATACTTTTTAGGACTTGGCTGTCTTGCTTTGTAGTGGAGCTCTTGTTGGTATTACTAAAGCAATTTGACTCAAAGTACTTTTTTTGGTCCAAGATGTATTAGGAGCTTGTGGATTCTTAAATCTTATTTTCCTTATTTGTTGTTATTATGTGCTGTGAAGTCAGTTCCGACTCATAGCGACCTGGTACAGGGTTTTTGAGGCTGTAAATCTTTATGGGAGCAGAAAGCCTCATCTTTCTCCCGTGGAACAGCTGGTAGTTTTGAACTGCTGACCATGAGATTAGTAGCCTAATTTGTAACCACTACGCTATTTTCCAGATGTTGTTGTTGTTGTTGTTAAGTGCCGTCGAGTCGGTTCCGACCCATAGCGACCCTGTACAGGGTTTCCGAGGGTGTAAATCTTACATGGTTTAATTATTCATCTCTAGAGAGACGAAGCAAACAGAAATTATTTTGTGATTTTTCTTGTATTTCCTTACTGTCTTAATGTTATTGTTTTCAGCAGCGACCTTCTGTGGATGAAGTACTCAGGGATGGTCACATCAGTTTGTCTGGTCTGCAGTTGCGAGCACATGCTATGTTCTCAGCAGAAGGTCTTCCTTTGGGAAGTGATTCCTTAGAATATGCATGGCTAATTGATGTGCAGGCTGGAAGCCTTACAGCTAAGGTCACAGCACCACAGGTATGGATTCTTATAGTATTTTCTCCTGATTTACTTAATTTTTTCTTTCCTTACCTATCTCCCCAAGGTATCCTGTGTGTCCATTATGAATGTGCATTGCATTTTCATTAATGACTTTCAAATATCCTGATGACATTTTGCTTTTCTGGATAGAAGCTGTTTTTCCCATTTAGAATTATACCAGCTGTAGGTGAGTCAGAGACAAATTTCACTTTTCTGAAACACATATAATTGATGGGAATAGTGATCTATCACTCCCACTATCAGTTACTGTCAAGTTGATTATAGCTTATGGTGACCTTGTGTGTCAGAGTAGAACTGTGCTTCATAGGGCTTTCAGTGATTGATCTTTTTTTGTGTTCTTTTGGAAGCTGACCATCAGGCCTTTCTTCTGAGATACCTCTGAGTAGTCTTGAACCTTCAACCTTTTGGTTAGTAACCAAGTGCAATACCTATGTATACTACCCAGAAACTATATAATGTTATATAAAACCAAACCAAACTCACTGCCTTCAAGTCAGTTCTGACTCGGTGACTTTATAGAACAGAGTACAACTGCTCCATAGGGTTTCTGAGACTGAAAATGGTTATAGGAACAAGCAACCTCATTTTGTATCTTGTGGAACAGCTGATGGGTTTGAACTGCTGTCTGCAGTTAGCAACCCAGTGCTTAACCATGTGTGCCACCAGGGATATTTTTATTATGGTAGTTAGTTGTATATAAGGAGCCCTAGTAGCAATGTAGAGTTTCCACGACTATAAATCTTTATAGTGACACCAGGGCTGTAGGTTAATATTTCTTCATAATTCTTTCACGAATTCAACCTTTTCTTTGGAAAAAATACTCAGGATGAGAACTCTTCCAGAAATCAATTAATATAATACTTAAATTATATTAGTTGACACTCCACAGTTGTAACAACCATCTTTTCCTAACTAATATATGGAATAAGTGTCTAAGAACTTTGCTTTCTTATCTATTAAGTACAATTTTAAAGTAGCATTTATGATGCAGAAGAAGGCTTTATGATGCAGTAGCTAAGCACTCAGCTGCTAAGGTTGTTAACTGAAAGGTTGGTGGTTCAAAGTCAACAGGTATTCTGCAGAAGAAAAGATCTGGCAGTCTCCTCCCTCTAAAATTACAGCTGAGGAAGCCTTATGAGGCAGGTTTACTCTGTCCTCATGTGAGTGTGGAGGCTCTCTAGGGTAATTGAACCACAAGGCTGGCAGTTCAATCCCACTGGCCACTTCTTGGGAGAAAGATGTGGGTTTCTGCTCCCACAAAGATTTGCAGTCTCGAAAACTATACAGAGTCATGATATATTGGAACTGGTTAGATAGCACTCAACAAGAGCAACAATAATCGTTTCCCTATGGGTTGAAATTAACTCAGAAAAAGCACACAATAATAATTTATGACGCTCAGGTAGAATACTTAACCTATTAAGCCCTAGAGCAAGACAGCATCTATTATACCTGCTATTAGTGATCTAGGATTCTTGGTGTGATGCTGTAGGATAAAGTGCTTGACCGCAAGGTTGGTTTAAACCACAGGGCCAGTGGTTCAAAGTCACCAGCTACTCCTTGGAAACCCTATGCTGTTGTTGATTGCTGCTGAGTTGGTTACAACCCATAGTGACCCTGAATTGGGTTTCCAAGGAGTGACTGGTGAGCTTGACCGCTGACATTGCAGTTCAAACTGGTTTTGCAGTCCATCTCATTACCCTACAAGGTCATACCACGACTCCTAGACACCCTATACAGGGTTGTTATGAGTGAGAACCGACTCAACGTTACTTAACATTAGTAATATATAATAATATAAGATATGAGCTGGGCTGCTAATCTCAAGGTCAGCAGTTTGAAACAAGGAGCTATTCCCTGAAAGAAAAATGAGGCTTTCTGCTCCCATAATGATTTATAGCCTTGGCAACTCTATGCAGGGCCACTGTGAGTCAGAAGTGACTTAACAGCACACAACCACCACCATTAGTGATATGATTTCTGGTTTAGAAAAAGAAAAATGGAATTTAAGTATATGTGGTCCAGAGATTCTAGGTGTGATCCTTTTGCATCACTATCCCTTACAGCCCTTTTTTGAAGTTCTCTGGTAGCGTAGTGGTTATAAATCGGGCTGCGAACTGCAAGGTCAGCAGTTCGAAACTACCAGCTGTTCCGTGGGAGTAAGATGAGACTTTCTGCTCCTGTAAAGATTTACTGCCTCAGAAACCCTGTACAGGGTCGCTATGAGTTGGAACTGTCTCCACGGCACATAACCAACCAACATAACCAAAGGATTATTTAGTTTTAGGAATGGACTATTGCAGTTTATTTGAATAGCCATATTACTATAACCTTCTACCTGCTGAGTCATATATTTAAGATAATATGAATGCTTACCTTGGCATTTCAAAATCTGGAACATGATAGAAATGTACATACTTAATATTGATAAAAATTTGCAGGATGAATATCAAACACATATAACTTACTAGTTGTTGTTGTTAGGTACCATCGAGTCGGCACTGACTCATAGTGACCTGTGCACAACAGAATGAAACACTGCGTGGTCCTGGACCAGCCTCACAATTGTTGCTATATTTGAGCCCATCACTGCTCTAGGGGTCTTCCTCTTTTTCTCCAACCCTCCACTTTACCAAATATGATATCCCCAATGACTTTTCTCTCCTGACAATATGTCCAAAGTGTGAGAGACGCAGTAATGACAAAAGGATAAAACATTTAGAACTCTTGTATACCCGAGACATTTTTAGTAGGCAGAAAAAATTAAGATTCTAAAAGTAATAGGAAAATGAATGGGATTCATAGAAGATATTTTGGAGTTGAGTGACATTTCAGTATAAATTGGAATGTATAAAGAAATATATAAAAATAGATGGGACGATCCAATGCTCACTGTCCTCTTATTTATTTCCTTATTATCCTCTTCTTCTTTTACTTCCACTAGTATACACTTGAAAACTGAAACATAAAACAAAGCAGCTTGTTCTGTAACAAGTAATTAGAACTTGCTGGTTCTGTAAGACTGGATGTGGTTGTTCTTAAGTGCTGTTGAGTCAGTTCCGATTCATAACAACCCTGTATAGCCTTTCTAAGGAGAGCTGGTGGGTTTGAACTGTCGACCATGTCATTCGCAGTCCAGTGCCGATCTTACAGTGCCACACCAGAAGTCCATAAGACTGGATACAATTCCTTTATTCTAATGCATGCTGGATTCTTGTATGTTTATAAATTGCCATAATTAGAAAATGAAGCTCTTCTCTTTCTTCAAATAGAATCTTGACATGGTTTCCATAACCATTGTTAATGTTCGTTTGGTTTTTTTGTATGTTTTAAAGGTGGAATTCATGTTTTCCAAGAGTTAGTTACATAATTTTTGGAGGGATAATCATGTATAACCATCCCTTTATGTTTTTATTATTAGTAACTCTAAATTATAAAATTAAGGAGTTTTTTAATGATAGTTTAGTATTTAAGAATTGATATATGGTTAAGTGAATTCTGTTTATTTATAAATTTACACTTATTAGCCAGTGTGTTTTTATCATCAAAATATCTAGTTTTCCAAAATTATAGTTCAATATGGTAATTAAATTTTAAAATATTTCACAGCAATACTTGGTTTCTAGATAGAGAATTTTAAATGCTTTTTTATTCAGTAGATTTCATTTAGTCTTAAAAAAGATAAAAAGAGAAGACATAACCTTGAAGAAAAGTAGTTAATTTAGAAGCTACTAAAGTGGAATAGTTCATTTAAAATGAGCTTTCATTTTGGTAGTTCATTTTGTCATTCACAAGTGAAAAGTAACAGAGGCTTATAAATGATGTCAAAGTAGAAAAATAATAACGAATAGATTATGTAGCAGCAGGTATAGGACAGCTTTTGGGTTCTTGCAAGCTGTGCTAATATTCATAAGATTTTGAATGCTGAACACTTGTTTAAAATGCTATGTTGTCACCTGTCACTGCTTATTTGTAGCTGGCATATCTCTTAGAGTGGGGACAGACATTTGTTTTTCACGTGGTATGTCGGGAGTATGAACTGGAAAGACCCAAATCAGTAATAATATGTCAGCATGGAATTGATCGTCGGTTCTGTGAATCCAAGGTACTTTAACAAATAAGTTAGCAGTTTATAAATACTTGTAAATTTTTAAAAATGAAAAATTATCTGGGCTCTCAGCTATAAATCAAATGCACATATCCAGTAAGTATACAACTATAGTCCTGTTTTGTTTTCCCTTTAATAAAATTATTTTTCAAATTCTTAGTTATTATAAATGTTTAAAATATGTGATTATTAAAACATGCATTCAGAGATGAATGGAGATATTATTAAAATGTTATGTCAACTCTTATACTTATACTGTCAATACTCTTATGATACTGCAGTATTGTACTAATCCTTAGGATATAACTAACTGTATTTATATAGAAGATTTCGAAATTGAAACAAGAGGAAAGTTAAATTCCTTACATAACATGATTTATAGACCACTGGAGCATTTCTGTTCTCCTACATTGTGACATTGCTTGTTTATCAAATTCACCACCTTAGGTACTCATTTTGAGTATATATATATTATTGAAACTCACACACATATATTCTGTCAATTATATTAACCCGTTTGAATGAAAATGATTACATGGTTATGTAAAGTTAGTTTTCTAACTGTTAGCAGTTTAATTGCTGGTGATTTAATTTACTATTAGCAAAATTAACAGAATTATGTAACCTGAATTTTCTTTCTTTATATAAGTAGATATACATAAGTACCAAAATAATAATTTGGTTTTGATTAATTAGCTGTATAATTCCTTTTCATTTTAGTTGAGTTGTATTCCTGGGCCTTGTCCAGCTTCAGATGATTTGAAATACACTATGACTCGTTTAGCAGTAGATGGAGCTGATATTTATATTGTGGAGCATGGCTGTGCTACAAATGTAAAGGTAAATGTAGTTCTGTGTTTTGCCAAACCAAGCCTCAGTTTCTTGAAATATAGCACACATTTATAGTTTTTCTTCTCACAGAACACAGACAGTCCTCAAATTATGAACACAATCTCTTCCTTCTTGTGTCTTTAAGAATTTTTCAGGACTTTGAACCAGTTGCCAGGTTCAGTCATGGCCAAGGAAGTATCACTGGAGCAGATCTGAATTTTTTTCGTTTACGGTGAACTGAAAGATAATTGGGACAGGAAAAATTTAATCTCCTTACAGAGAGAGGACAGTATAAGCGTTCATAGCAACCAAATCTCTTACCCTTGGATTTTGAGCACAGTCCCAAGCAGCACTACTCTGCTTAAAGATGGTAGCTGACGGTACTGTTCTGAATGTGTGTTGTTCTCCACAGTCCTTCCTATAATCAAGTCTCATACATCAGGCTCCTGAAAGGGCTTACTACACCTGTTCTGAGTTTGCCATTGCAGGGCTCTGACCCATAATTTTTCACCTTCCAGGTATAGTTCTGAATCTGTCAGATTTTAAAACTTCAAGTGGTTTTGTTTCACTTCATAGGCCATGGCAAACAGTTTATAGGGCAAGTAGTTGTCTGTGAATTGGACATTCATAGCCTGGGTATTGCCTGTACTATAAAGTTTTAGGAGGTGGCTTTATATTTTCTACTCATCTGTGTTCTCTTCCAGTATTTTTTTTTTTTTTATAGCATACGTTTACTGTTTTTAACCCTATCTAAATTATTATTAACAACATTGCTTTATAGCTTGATTATAAACTGGTAGACTGTATGGCAAGCATATAAACTGGTAGTGTTTTTAGATATTCTTTTAAAAAAGATGCATGCATTAGATTTGATGTATTTTTATTTCCAGCCTGACTTCTGCAAACATTTGTTTGCCACCTCTGCTTTATGAATGGTCATTTATAATCTTTAAAATGTTTCTAACTTTTCTGTTGCTCTTTTCCTTTGATTCTCTTATTTCTTATTAAATGTTTAATTATTTGTTTTCTGTTGTTGCATTTATATTTTAGGTTTTCCTTCATGCGTTTGCATTTGCCTTGAGCCTTTTTGCCTTTCTCCTCTTCTGTTTTTTTTTTTTTTTTCCCCTCCCTTTCCCTTCTGTTTGGGTTTTGCATACCTTTTCCTCTTTATGAAATGAAACACCTGTTTTTTATTTTTCATTTAGATCTTTGAACTGGTTCTTCCCAGTTTCGGTCATGGCTGATAAAGTAAATTTGGAACAGACCCAAATTTGTAAAATGTAGGTGTACTGGAATGATTAACAGGAATGGGAAAAATCGTGCTGCTCTACTAGAAACTTCCTATTCTTTCTAGAAAACTGTGTGCGTCACATAGCATCCTAATCTGTTGACTGGCAGAGTTGGAAATAGCTGTGCTTGGCTTAGAGATGGCAACCAAACGAATCACTTTGAATATGTGTTGCTTTCCACAGTCCTGGTAGTAATCCAGTAATCCCCCACTAGGCTCCTGAAAGAGCTCACGACACGTCGCCCCATTTCATACTTAACTTGTAACTTTTGCTGTTCAGAATATTCACATTTTACGAATTTTAATCGGTTCTGATTTTACTTTGTTGGCCATGACTAAATGATTTGACCTAGATCAAAACCCTAGTTTATTCTACACTGATTAAAAATACTTAAGTTACATTTTGTTCCATTTTCTTCATTCGACTTTAGATGGGTGCTATCCGGGTTGCAAACTGTAATCTCCACAATCAGTCGGTTGGGGAAGGAATAAGTGCTGCAATTCAGGATTTTCAAGTGAGACAGTACATTGAGCAATTAAACAATTGCAGAGTTGGACTTCAGCCTGCAGTTCTACGGAGGGCATATTGGCTTGAAGCTGGGTCAGCCAATTTAGGACTTATTACTGTTGATATTGCATTAGCTGCTGATCATCATTCTAAACATGAAGCACAAAGACATTTCTTAGAAATTCATGATGCCAGAACTAAGAGGTGAGTGAAAATTTTAAGAATAGTAACAGTTACAGGTAAAGGTCGTAAATCTAGATAGAAATAAAAGAAATTCTGTTGTTTGGAATGGAGTAAGAACATTTGAAATAAAGGTTTAATATGATTGTGCTGCTAATTTTTAACAGGATGTATAGGGATCTATTGTTTAAGTAATCACATCATATATACTTCCTGTGGTGATGGTGTGGTTGTTTTCATATGTGTTTCTGATTCTACTCTACATTGTCAACTAAGTCTAAGTTACTGTCAACAGTGAAGCACATTTAAAGTACTCATTCCAAATGGCATTTTGTATAGCACTATTCGTTTTTACTTACCCTAGCCTTCCACTTCCATTTCATCACTACTAGAATTCACTTTTGTTACTACTATTTACTGTGCAAAATTCATTTTGTGAGCTTTCAAGAACTACGAAAAAACTAAGGGAACTTAGACCTGTTTCCATTGTTGTTTGGTAAATGATTATATCTGCCTTTTAAAAAATTGCCAGAGTATATTAGTAAATCACTTACTTTGAAAATTACAGTATGACATTTTTCATGCTCATCTCCTTTATGTAACGTGAATACATGCCTGTTTCGTCTTGAATCACAAGGTCAGTGGTTCAGGCTCACCAGCCACTCCTCAGACACCCTATACATGGTCACTATGGGTCGGAACTGACTCAATAGCACTCAACAGCAACAACAACAATAATGAAGAAACAAAGGGAAAATAATTATTCTAATCCAGTCACATGGAGTCCTGGTGTGGCACTGTGGCTTAATGTGCCAGACTGCAAAGCCATTTGAACTACAAGGTCCATGGTCAAGCTCACCAGCTGCTTCTCGGAAACCCTATACAGGGTCACTATGGGTCGGAATTGACTCGATGGCACTTAACGACAACAATAAAATCCAGTCACACAGACTTCTTTTATTTATATTCATTATTTTTAATATATTTTTTTAGACTTGAGATCATCTGTATTTCCGCTTAATTCTACAACTTTTCATTTAATTCATATTCTAAGCACCGACCCACATGATTATTTTATAAAAATTGTTTTAAAGAAGTGATTATACTCTACTAAAAAGTAAACCCTTCTTTACTTAACATTGACCATATATTTCATTATATAAATTTTCTTCTCTAGCACTATAATTCAAATGCTGCATTGATTCTTCTATGGTCTTCCTTATTTATTGACCAATTTCCATATGCTTATGAGGCTATTATAAATTCCATGGCTTCTGTCAGGCACACCTTAGTCCTCAAATGACATCTTTGCTCTGAACAATTTAAAGAGGTCTTTTGCAGGAGATTTCTCTGATGCAATGCATCATTTCTTTTCTTGACCACTGCTTTCCTGAATGTTGATTGTGGGTCCAAATAAAATGAAATCTTAAGAAAACGTCAGTCTTTTCTCCATTTATCTGTTATTTATTGGTCCAGTTGTGAAGACTTGTTTCCTATATATTGTGAAGATTTGTTTTCTATATATTGAGTTGCAGTCTGTACTGAATGCTGTAGTCTTTGGATATTAATCAGTACTTCAAGTCCTTTTTTCTTCCACCTAACAAAGTTGTGTCATGTACATATTGCATGCTGTTAATGAGTGTTCCTTCAATCTTGATGCCGCATTCTTCTTCATATAATCCAGCTTCATGGATTATTTGCTCCATGTACACACTAAATAAGTAAGGTGAAAGGATAAACCCTAGTGCACACCTTTCCTGATTTTAAACCATTCAGTATCACCTTGTTCTGTTTTAACAACTGCCTCTTGGTCTATGTAGAGGGTCCTCATGAGTACACCCATTCTTCCCAGTGTTATCCATAGTTTGTTATGGTTCACACAGTGGAATGCACTTGCATAGTCAGTAAAGCACAAGTCAACATGTTTTGGTAGTCTCTGCTTTTAGCCAAGATCCGTCTGACATCACCAATGATATCCTTAGTTCTGCATCCTAATCTGGATCTGGCTTGAGTTTCTGGCAGCTCCCTGTTGATGTACAGTTGCAATTTGATTACTTGAATTAATGATACTGTTCAGTGATTTTCATATTTCGTTAGGTCACCTTTCTTTGGAATGGGCACCAATGTGGTTTTCTTCCAATTGGTTAGCCAGGTAGCTGTCTTTGAAATTTCTTGGCATAGTTGAGTGAGCATCTACAGTGCTGCATCAGTTTGTGGAAGCATTCCAATTTGTATTCCATCAATTCCTGGAACCTGTTTTTCGCCAATGCCTTCAGTGCACCTTGGACTTCTTTCTTGAATACCATAGGTTCTTGATCATATGCTGCCTCCTAAAATGGTTGAGCAACTATCAATTCTGTTTGGTACAGTGACTCTGTGTATTCCCCCCATCTTCTTCTTCTTCTTTTTTTTTTAAGTTTTTATTGTGAATTATGTGGGTTTACATGGGAGAACATCAGTTTTACATTCATCTTATCATATTTCATTTCATGGTAATGATCACAATCCCCTCCATGCATCATCAAATAACCAAAGGGTACACTACACAGGCCCGCTTCCCTCCCATCTTCTTTGTTTTATGTTTTATTGTGAATTATGTGATAATTTACATGGGAGAACATTAGTTTTACATTCATCCAATTGTATATCATTTCATTGCCATGGTTACAATCCCCTCCATGCATCATAGCCAACCAAAGGGTATATACCCTACAAGCCTGCTCCCTGATCGTCAGCATATAGCCCCTCTCCCTCTCTGGCTCTAAAGTCCCCAGCTGCTCCATCTCCCCACGTCATCGTCTCTGCCTCCAACTCAGGCATCACTGCTTCTCTGGGTAGGGTCCCGCTTACCACTCTTCTTCCTTGAAGGTTCCAGGGACCTCCGCTTCTAGACTGAAAAGTTAATCACTCTCCTCCTTGCTACAAAATGTCTACCTTTACATTTCCAGCCCTCACAATCAGTCCTGATGACAGTTAATCACTGTTGTATCACAGAGACCTATCCGCATCTCCTTTCATCAGCCCAGCCTAGACAGATTGGGTACTACTCAGTGGAGATTCTACCTTCCTCCACGTCCTCTGGATCTAGGTTCCCTCTTGAAAGCTTTTAAGTCAGTCACTTCTTGCCTTTGTAGTCTCCCCCACCCCCACCCCCATTTTGGGTAGCCAATGTCCAAGTTGTCCATCCCTGTCTACTCTGTGTATGGAGGGGGTGGGAATGATCCTTGCTGTAAAGATTTGTTCCCTCTTTTGACCTAGGTGTAGGTCAAGTTCATCAAATTGTATCAGATTACTCTTCTTTTCCTCTTCTTTTTTCTTCTAGTTGAGCTCTGATAATCCAGTCATTGAAGCCAGGTCAAGTGTGTATTATCTGCTAGTGTGGGTGTTCTTGTGCATATGCCCTCTCTTCTTATCAGCTGGACGCTTCACTCTCCACTCTAGTCCTCTGTCCTCCTATCTTCTTTTGATACATCCTGCATCATTCAATGCTTTGCCCTTAGAATTCTTCAATATTGTAACTTGGGGCTTGATTTTTTTCTTCAGTCCTTTTCAGCCGTAGAGATATTGAGCATGTTTTTCTTTTTTGGTTTTCTAACTCCAGGTCTTTGCACATTTCATTATAATATTTGACTTTGTGTTCATGAGCTGCCCTTTGAAATTTTCTTTTCAGCTCTTGTATGCCTTATTTCTTTCAGTTGTTTTAGCTTCTTTACATTCAAGAGCAAGTTTCAGAGTTTCTTACTACATCCAATTTGGTCTTTCCTTTTTTCCTGTCTTTTTATTGACCTTTTACTTTCTTCATGTATGATGTTCTTGAATGCCATCCCAGAAGTCTTCTGCTTTTGAGTCATCAATGTCTAATGCATCAAATCTGTTCTTGAGATGGTTTCTAAATTCAGGTGGAATATACTCAAGGTGATATTTTGACTCTCATGGAGATGTTTTAATTATCTTTAGCTTCAACATAGGAGAAACTAATGCTCTGTTCCACAGTCTGCCCCAGGTCTTGTTTTTGACTGATGATGTTGATCTTCTCCATTGTATTTTCCCACAGATGTTGTCAGTTTGATTCCTGTGTATTCTCTGTGTATAGTCATTGGTTATGTTGTTTAAAATAGGTTGTTGTTGTTGTTGTGTGCC